TTTCATCTAAAGACAACAAAGATTTACCATTTCATAGGTAGGATCATAGTCCCTTATGGGTTATTTTAAATTAGTAATATCAGATATTTAATGTTAATTAATTAATAATTATGATSGTTAGATTTCCTAAGAATTTGGAAAAAAGGAAAAAATGGGCATCAGCATTAGGGTTYGGGTTGCAAGAAATTGGTGATTGGCAATATGTTTGTGGAAATCACTTCACAAATGATTGTTATATTTTTAGTACTGCAAGATCGTCCACTTTACTGCAATTTAGTCATTGACGAAATGTGCATAAGACGTTATGTTGAAATGGACAGTCAAAAAAAGATACATGGCTATATTAATATGGGTGCAGAATACTCAAATTCTGTTATCTATTTGTGTTAAGACCTCTATAACCTCAAAATAATTTCATATTCATTCCCGTATGATAAGCTCAAAGGGCCTATCCATTCTTTAATATCTATGATGTATATACTAAAAAAAATAAATAGTATAGTATGTCAGTATGACTATGTACTCAGAGCACGGATGACGGATATAGCTGATGATAATTATAGTAAATCTATAGCCCGCAAGCTGAATGCTGATAATATACTGTTCTATGATAATGGTGTTCAAATATTATGATAATATTATCACAATTATTGTGTTAACTGATAATAAGTATATTATTCTTTACATGTGCTTCTCTACATCTAAATACGATAAATTTTAAAAATTAATATTAAAAATTTTTGAACTTATTTGAAGTACGTTTGAAAGAAAAGTCTAACACTTATCTTAGAAGACTTGAAAGAAAAACCTATTGACAACGTTTTAAGTATCTTCAAAATATCTGAAACGACTCAATTGATTTTTAGTTAGTATTATTATTCAATTTTATGTTTGGTTATTGCCTAAGGACTTCATTCAATACACTTTATATTGATTTTATTTGTTTCGTTATTTTTTGTTAAACATTATGATCTAGTGTGAAACGTTCCATACTAGACTTATGTGGAGATTAAACATTTTTTTCTATTATTGTCACAAACAAAATGAATATGGAGTTGACCATTAACACAAGTAGTTTTACCAATTACTTGCATTTGCACAAGAAATCAAGTAGAAACCGTGGTTCAATAATGAAACGTTTAAGAGCTAAACGAAAAAACGCAATTGTAAGATTCAACAAGTGGTTTGAAAAAGAACATGATTATTGTTTGCCAATCAAAAAAATAAGTGAAGTAAGTCTGAAATACAAATTATATTATCAAAAAATTCCTAGAAATAATATATTTGTTTTTTAGTATGATCAAAAGAGTAATACCTCCATAGTAGATAATGATGATTTTGATGCAATTAATAAATCATTAATATCAGATTCTATATCATCAGATGTTTCAAAAACAATTACTAACTTAGAGAAAATAAATGTAAATAATGAGTTATCTAGTTGTAGCTTATATGCCATTGATGTTACAACAGAGTAAGTTTTTAGTAATAAAATGTGTGACATAAATAGTACTATTTTAAAACTATAAAATATAACTTTATTATTTTTCATTAGATTATTAAAAGATGCATTATTAGAAAATCAAAAAAATCAAAATACTCAAATAAATTATGTACAATCAACAAATATATCGAAAGATAGTATTAATTCTTCTGACGATTATGTACCTAATATTTTAAATGATTGCAATCAATGTGATATTACTCCAAGGTAATTGTTATTATCATTATAGCATTTAATATTTAATGATTAATTTTAACAATTTACTAATGCTACATTAAAAGGTACTCAAAGTAAGAATAACTGAATAGTGATATCTATAAGTTAGGTAGAAGTTTCAAATCAGCAGGTTGTGAAAGTGTTTCAGTTTTATTGTACCAACATTATGGGTACAATCACCCAAGTTTTTAGAAATACATTTATTTTTTAATTTAAACTCTGTTTCTATAATTAGTTTCAACAATTATTAAATATATAAAGATACATTAGATTTCAATATTTAGTTGTTGTTTTCTAAATAAAATCCTTATTCTGAAAATTGTTGTCTTCTTTTGGTTTAAACCGTATTAAATAACTTTGTGTTTAAATTATATTAGTGGAGTTTTTAATATAAATAAAATTGAATGATAAAAAATTATGCAATTATATTTAATTAAATTATATTATAAAAGAAAAATTTTGTGTTTCAAGAGAATGTACACCACCAAAAGTATTTTTACCCATGGATATTGACAGTGACATGAATAAATTGTTCCCAAATTTAGATTTTTCTACAGAACACAATCTAAACGAGTAATGATAAATTTTTTAAAGTATTTATGGATTACCTGTTATTTTATACATATTTTTTTTTTTAGAAAACAAGATCATATAAAATGCAAAGAAAATAAAATTGAAGCTGAAACCACAATTTCACCTACAAAAACGGATGAAACTGAAACTAAGAAAATACTTTTTCTTAATAATTCATTTACTGATTCTGTTTCTCAACCTTTAGAGACAATTAAGATTGTAAAAAGTGACTGTAAAATTAAATCTAAATCATCTCACAATATATGTAAATTATCAGCTGACAATCCAGCCATTGTGACAAATTTTCAACTAGCATCTGAACAGTATATAAACATATTTAATCGGTATCAGGTATTTCATGTAATAATAATTTGTAACCATTGTATATTGATTTTAACAATTATTTTTTGTTATTATTGATGTAGAGCAAGTCAAAAGAACAATTTATTGAACAGGTTGAAAATCCAGGACCTTTATTGTTGAGAGATCTTCTTTGTGGTTCAAAACCTAAAACTATTATTAGTCCTTACACCCATAGGTAATACTTATCACATTTTATATCATTATTTGATAAAATTATACTTTTATTTTAAAGTAACTTATAACTTATATTTGCCTATTATCATGGTTTAATTGTAACATTTTACGCACTTATAACTTGGTTTAAAATGGAAATATTAAAAAATCTTTAAACTTTATAATAGGTTAATTGACTCTAGTTTTAAAATTTAACTCCACATAACCAAATGTGAAATGCTTAAAATAAATTTTTGATAACAATATTCTTAATGTAGTATTGTGACCATAAACAAGTATACTAACAACTCATGATAACATCATAGATACATTATTTATGATATCTTGAACAGAATTATCTTAGTGATTTTTTTCTTCGCGTTGTGAGGATCATGAAATAACAGAAAATTACTATTAATTTTAATTATTTGCTTAATATTGTAAAGGTGTTTAAAACCATACATATTCAGAGATTTGGAGACTAAACCTCTGTGGTTAAGAATGTTGAATGAATTAAAAGAACATTTTAGACAAAAAAATGGATTGCCTAAGACTAATGAAATTCAATCAATTGACTACAGTTATGTTCGTGCAAAACACATAAAATCAGTAAATGCGTTGGCAAGGCAGTTTTTCTGGGCCGGAATTGATTGTAAGCAATCCTATGGTTTGGTGATAAATAATATGTATTTGATAAATTAAAAAAAAAAAAAATGTTTTTATTTAGTGACTGAAAGTTTATTATACCCTGACTTCAGCGTCATCGCGTTATACAAAAACTTGATAATTGGTTTTGGTTTCATGGTTCCAGACATAAGTACAAATGAAAATTATATAACATTTTTGTTCACTCGTCCTCATTGGACTAATTGTGGTATTGCTAAATTTATGATATACCATTTAATTCAGGTATTTTATTAAAAATTTATACAGAAAAATTTACTACATATTGTATTTTAATTTATATTTTTTTAGACTTGCATGACCAGAGATATAACTTTACATGTCTCCGTGAATAATCCAGCTATGATACTATATCAAAAGTTTGGATTCAAAATTGAAGAATTTGTGCAAAACTTTTATGAAAATTATATTCCTGCAGATTCAGAAATGTCTAAGCATGCTTTTTTTATTCGTTTACGCAGTACTTTAAATACCAAATTAAGTTAATACATACTGCTTAAAAGGTATTGTTATTTATTTGCAATCTTCTGACAAGTTTGTTAATATTTATGAAAATATTTTTTACATAAAACTGACGTTTTTATACAGTATACCTTGAGTATTTTATTATTTATTAAGTTTGCTAAAATATATTTGTATTTTAAATCATAATTAATGATAATTAATTGAATAAAAATCATTCATACTAGAAAATAAACTATTACTATAGTAAATATTCTATTTTATATTAATAATAAAAAATTGTATTAAAATTTATTTTTTTAACATCAGTTTTTGACGCATTTTGAATAAGGCATGGTTAATCAATTTTTCCAAAATCATTGCATGTAGTTATCATAATTCATAATAGCTTATATTATCATAGATATACTGATATACATATATATGATTACATAAAAATTTAAAACTCAAACGCTCAAAACATTTTTCCTATAATGACGCTTCAAATTGTCTCTATAGTTATTTGAAGCAAAACTTATGTACAACTTAGTGTTGAATTTTTTAACCTTAGATATAAATACCGAACAATTTTAAGAATTTTGAACTACAAAATAATTTCCAAATATTCATGGTTTTGACGAATTTTTGTCAATAATTGAACTACAAATGCTAATAAAAAAAAATTGTGCGTGCATCCTTATTTCTTATAATTTTTTAATCACTATAAGAATAACTTATGAGAAACTTAGTATTAAATTTTCAAGTATTTTGGTAGGGCCAAAATAATTTAATCGACACTTCAAGAAAAAATTTTCAGAAAAATTGAAAATTTCAGTTGTCTATAAATATCTCAAAAAAAGTCAAAATATTTTGAAAATTAAATCATGTAAAAGAAAATACCAATCTAAATACCTGGTAAWATGTTCAAGTATCTACGACTTATACTTTTTGAATAATAACAAATATTTAAAATCGTTTGAGGATAAATCGTTATCGTTACGCTATTTCGTAAAAATTTAAAATTTAAACGCACTAAAAATTTTTCCTATAATCATGCTTCGAGTTTTCTCTATATACGGGAAAATTCCCGTTTTTCTGTCATTTTTTTTTTGTTTTTCTTGATTTTTTTGAAGACTGTTGGATAATGTTTACTTTTGACCTCTATAATGCACCAAGGATATTCACTTTTACATCGAAAACCACCCCCAAAGTTTGAAATTGAAGCGTTATTTCGACTAGTTATGCTGTACACAGACACAAAAAAAAAACAC